ATTTAAATCACAGCAACCTTTCTAATCTGTTCAGCTGCTCTTCGTTTTTGTTACAGTTACCCTGCAGGGCAAATGTTGATAAGTGAGAGTTATAACAGGAAGTGGAAATTGTCTGAATTAATGCAGTGACATATGAACTACTCTGAGCCTAACCAGTCTGCTCAGTCTTTACATTGGACCGTTCCAGGAACTCTTGAAGCTCATAAAYAGCAGATGTGAATAACTTCCTCATACAAACAATGTCAAAACCCTTAACTTTGAAAGGCATTCATCAGGGAAATGACACCTAACGCTGTGAAGCCTCAACCCTAGAGGCTACATTTGTTTTGTTTGTCACACTAGGTGGATGCTTGAAGCTGTGGTATGTTTGTTTTGTTTCTATTGAATTCCTTTTTGTCTTCATCAGCTGTCATCACTTAGTGACATTATCTAGCCAAGGCCTGAATAAAATGCAGATGCTTCCTCAGAATTTCCTCGAAGAACCAGATATACAAACAACAGATTAAAAACTCAGTGCCTCAACAGTCAAAAAAATTCAGTAGAATTAGAACATGGGTCATAAAAAAGAAAAAAAATATGATTTTTTTTCTTGCTTTGTACTTAAGTTTTTAACATAACAGAAGCTATCCTTAAAAACTGATGCCTTTATTCCATTATCCCTCATTACATGAAAACAATTCCCCTTTGTGTGACTTTTTGAACCCTGAGAGGTTTAAAGTCTGCATTATTACACATTAACTTGGAGGCATGCTTGAAATGAATTACTGGCACAGGCCATAATTTTAATATGGCTACACTTTTGAACCCTTTAACAACAAACAAACTGGCTGTGATGTAGGTGGGGGGAGTGTGGGTGTAGCAGGGGTGGTATTCCCCTAAACATATCAAGACAAGATGAGCTGCCATGATAAAGCATGTTATTGGACCAGTATCAGTCATATTTACTGGCATTTTGATATAATGCATGAGCTAATAATCAGAAATATTACAGTATTACAAGTGCATGGACAAAAAGCCTAATGAATGTGGAGTTTTCTTACTGTTCAGATAACAATAGTCTAACAACAGATTTTATCATGATCAATGTTTAGATCATAACAGTCTCAGCACGAAGCTTGTTGTTTGTTTCCTGATTTTAAAACTGTTTCAAAAATCAACATAGAACCAAATATATTTCAGCAAATTGGTTGTTCTAGCAAAAAAAGGGGGGGGGGCAGAATTTGTAGTGTGTAATTTTTGTACCTGTACCAACATCTTACCTACAAAAATATAAATAAGAATAAACTGGATGTTTTGCAAAGAAAGTAGCTGCTGCAATTTCATAGAGAGCAGCTACTGTAAAGGGGAGGTGGAGGGGGGATGAAAAGCCCTGTTTCATAGAAGTGGTTGTGAAAGGTGGAAAAGCTGGATTTCCTAATAACTCCAGGCACATTTCTTGTAAATGCCTCCAACAGCCTCTTCTGAGCTGCCCCACCCTCTGGTCAGAGAGCGGTACTGCAGAAAGGTGGCTTTCAGTGAAGTCACGTGATTTATGAGAAACAGAGGCTGCAGCTCAGAGCAGGTCAGACTGTGGCTGAGAGTCTTGCAGAGAGTGTCAGAGGCTCTGCAGTCAGCAGTTTTCTGTTATGATTGCACTGGGCATTTTGTTTGTTTTTATTTCTTTTAAGTGAGAATCTGTTTGGTAAATGCAGATGATGCACGCTCCTTGAAATAAWGAGTTTTTGGAAAAGCATCGCATGACTGCATGCAGCAGTAACACTATAATAGGGATCACTTGAGTAAAATACCACTAAAAGACTTTATTGATTACATATTTTTTAATGAAACCAGTACTTTTCTGCAAAATGTTGGATGGAAAAAAATTGCATGTTGCATGCTTAAACTTTGAACAAAAATCTTGCATAACCTCAGGTTCATGTGTAAGACTGCCCGCTGCTATCAAATCAAAAATGTAGCTTAATAGTTGCAAAAAATACTAAGTTAAAAAGTAGAACATGTTTTGTTGTTGTTTGACTGTCTTAGATATTTAAACATTTTTTTCATGTGTTATATAAGACAGGATAACCCAAATTTAGGCTGTGGCATTTAGCTTCAGGTTGAGATTAGCATCCACCTTTAAAAAAAACATCCCTAGGTATGTGTGTCTTTTGAACTRTCTGTTTGTCAACCCGTATAGGCCCTACTGTTTTTTTTTAACTTCTTGCGACCTCAAACCACCAGTCCTCTAGCCCCACCCATCACAGATGGCACCAGCAGTGCAAACACAGTGTCACTGAGGGGTGATTTCATGTAAATGATGCATGCATTCATACAAGTTGCACGCAAACAGACAAAAAAAAGAAAACGTTAAATTATTTGAGACCAAACACTTTCTTTGCTTTGTTCTTGCTGACACAGCTTTTAGAGCTGCAGATGTTTGTGTCACATGAAAATGGAGGCAGGTGCTACAACCTCGCTCCGACGCAGAGCACTGCAGATCAACACGATGAGTCGAGGTTTTTACGAGGGGTGGGTGTCTCGATAGGTTTCCTGTTTGAAGGAACTTGTGACCACTTAGTTAAAAAAAATAGAGCTCTGTGTGGAGGGGAAAGCTTGCTCATTCATTGATGGCTCTTTTCAGCCAGTCTGTGTTAGATAACCTATTGCACATAAATATCATATCTGCAAACACTGTGACATGTTTACACATAAACCCTATTAAAGATTCATTAGTTTTTTTGGTTTCTGGACTTGTAGAGGAAGAACACTTACACTCTTGCAGCAACCGCCTCCAGAATAATTCTCAAATATAAAACTTAGGAATGCAAAATGTCTAGAGAGCAGTCTACTCGCCACACTCAAATAATTGCCCTCATCTGTTTGCTCTTTCTCTGACTCACTGGATTAAAGTGCTTGTTCTTAGAAGTCACTTTTTAATGTTCTTCATTAAGGTTAAAAAAATCATCTGCACATGATTTGTATTTGTGTGCAATGGAAGACTTTATGGTTTGCAAGTCTGAATTTGCCCCTTTTATTTAAAGTAGCTGCAGTGTGAGGGCACGTCGCGTTGGTGATGACACTCTCCTTACGGTAACCGGGCTTTATTACAGTAAGGTTAACAAGATAAAGGAGACCATAATGTTACTTGTGACAACACCGCAAGATAGAGATTTTAAAAAGCACAGCAATTTCCTTGTCTAAAAGGAGACATCTGCACCTACACCCCAGGCAGAAATTTCCATAGAGTTGTGTGTTTTTAGCTTAAAGCAATCCTGAGAAGAAAATTTATTCATAAAGGATGGCATGAGGCATTTGACCTTTATTCAAAATTTAGTTTCTGTGTGAAGTTTTTTTTTATTATTATTATTTTTGATGTCATGTTTCAAGAGGAGACTGGGGGGTTTACTCCCTTGACCTGATGTGACC